GTCTCACTTGTAAATGAGTCTTCGAGGCTCAATGTGATTTATCTGTTTAAATAAAGGTTGAATGAATGAATGTTGGTGCCAGAGGGTTTTCTGTGCATCTTGGGGAATTGGACAAGCGTACCAAATTTCATGTTTCTACGACAAACTAAGGTTAATGCGGAGGGTATTTTGAAAATTTCTAGGTGGCGCTCTTGAGCCTTTTCTGTTGCGATTTTTGCCACGCCCTTAAAACACGTAATTTTTCACTACTCCTGATGCGTCCGCCAACTTCGGTGACTTTTGGGATATGTTCCCCAAAACGCCAAATCATTTGGCGGAAAAAATTGCAGCTCAGGCCTGAACAGAGCGATTACAATAGGTCTTCACAGCGCTTCGCTGCTCGGGCCTAATTACATTAAAATTTTCAAACCCAGCTTTGACTAAGAGACACCTTCCCTGAACAATGTGTTGCACCTTTATGTGGCTGGGAGTCAAGGCCGGATTAACCATATGGGCAACTGGGCAACTGCCCAGGGGCCCATGATCTCTATCTTATCTCCTGCTTTACTTGGAGCACTGCGCTGCACAGAGAGACTGCTGCATTTGTGCATCCCTGCCTCCTCCCAGAGCAGCTGCTGCAGCTCTGTTTTTTTTTTTTTTTCAATCACATCCTAAACGGGGCGACCTGTCAATCAACTCAGAAGGCGTGTCAGTAACTGACCAATCAACGACCTCATTTTGTTCCAAAGGTAAACGCCCCTTACCTGCTGACAAGCTCATCAGTTTTTTTTTCTTGAGAAACATTGTTTTAATTAAAACAATAACTTTGTATCTGTTGTGAGATGATTTTAGCAGTTTTGCAGAGTTTTAATCTACTTATTGAAGAATAGTACGACTTAAAATCGTTCATCAAACAGGAAGGAAGGCTTATTATCCCTCGTGTTAATACAGTGAATGTGGTACTTTGCTATAAGTACAACTATATTTATGGCATCAGAGAAAGCTTTTAAATTATCCACATAAAATAAAATGGCATCAGCATCAAAAGAAGGATTATTAAGTTTGAGATTAAACCAGTTTCTGATGTCTGACCAAACACTTTGTATTGACATAAAAAAATAAAAATGCTCGAGGGATTCATCTTGTGATTTACAAACTACACACAAATCAACATCAAATTTAAATCTTCTTTGCAGAAACATGGCTACAGGATATATCTTATTTATTATTTTAAATGATTCTCATTCACTTTAGGAGATTTAGGCCATTTGACAAATTTAAAATGAGCAGAAGTCATTACGGATTTATGATTTATATTGAGAGGTTTCTTGAAGGAATCTTTGTTATAATCAGTAAATCCTTTGTCACAAACGTTCATTGATAATCTTATTACATTTGAAGTCAACTAAGTTACAGATATTTAATCTTAATTTGGGCATCAAATCGTCACCTTTGAATATACAGTATAATATTTTTAATTATTGAATCAGCTGTTGGTCAGGTTACTTCTTGTTGTGCCATTAACTCTAAAATAGTTACTGAATCAAGTGTTTACTTCCATCCATCTGTGGGGGTAGCAGCCTAAGTAGGGAGGCCCAGCCTTCCCTCTCCCCAGACACTTGGACCAGCTCCTCCAGGGGAATCCCAAGGTGTTCCAAGTGTTTACTTATGTAGGTAAAACTAGATGTTAAACAACTAATAAAATACACCAGAATGCAGGAAATGGTATCTACTTTATTCAAAATTTTCTAGGGAAGGACCCCCAGACCCCCCCCCCTCATCAGTGTGTCCCCCCACACACACACATTATAAATGCTTCTGACACCAGTGGTCAACACGTTACTAAACCAGTACACATATGGTGTCATGTGGGGTTCAAAGTGCGTTCAACTTAATTCAGTCTTGATTTGTGTCAATGAGCATTTTGAGTTTCTATACATAAAAATACACTTGATAGTTAGAATTTTAAGTATATTTACTGTATATTATTGTCATTTATTCTGTATTTTGACAGATTATGGTGATTCTGGGGTCGTGATGATGAGTCCCTTGAAGACTGTTGCCCAGGGTACAGTGAAGTGTTAATCTGGCCCTGCTCAGAGTGAAAGCTTTAGAAAAAAGGAGTCCCACTCCTGCACTCTGGGAGGTGCTGTGGCTAAAAATGACCTCCGGTTTCCAATCTCTGCGCCACTCTGTCTCATTGGATGAATCACTGCGTGTCTCTTGTAAAAATAAAACTTCTATTTTTTTTATAGTTTATGGTTTGGTAAACCAGTTCACGTTTCACAGCCTCTCTGGCCCCGTTGAGGTTTAATGATGCCATTTCAAAAGCATCCATGGTGAGTGAGAGGTTAAGAAGCGTGTACAAAAAGACTATAAAAAATGTTAAAGTGCAGGTGTTCATCATTTGTTCAGAATTGTTTTCTTACATTGTTCATTATTTTCTTTAGTCTAAAGATTTCTTGATCGGTAAAACCTGACTCTTCTTTGTGTCTGATGTGATGTCTGGCTGAGAAATAAAACGTTTTCAGGTTAGGAAAATAACTTTCAACTTTAGGGTGCATTCACACCAGCTCTGTTTAGTCCGCTTTAATCGAACTCTAGCTCGTTTTCCTAGAAAGTCCGGTTCGTTTGGGGAGGTGTGAACGCGCCATCGAACTCTGTCACGGAACAAAAAGGCGAACTCTGGCCCGGGCTAAAACCTAGGTCTCGGTCTGGTAGAAGTGAACTCCAGCGCGGTTCGAGTACAGTGTGAGTGTAAACAGACCGGCCCCGCTCCGCAGGGTAAACAAACACACATTTCTCTGACCTTATATGGAGCCGTCAGCTGCCTTGTGTGAAAAAACAATATTCTCCATGGTCTTCTGTCTCATCTTCTACTCATGCCAAGTCCATTTTTGAAAAATGACAAAATATAACCCCTAAAACTGCTAAAACTTGATGCCACTTCGTTTTTATTTTTACTTACAGAAGAAGAAGACGTGTCTTCAGAGGTTTTTGTGTCGTTTCTTTCAGTAGTTCTTGGTGCAGCGCCCCCACAGGCGAGTGGGGGAACAGGTTGGTTCAACAGGTTGACTCGACTGCACAGTGCAGTGTGAATGCAAACGCACCAGCTCAAATGTAAACAAAAGCTCATGAATATTGGTCCCGAACCGAGTCTACCGGACTATCTGGTGTGAAAACGACCTTAGTGGCTGCAGCGCCAGTGGTGACACCTGTAGAAACAAGTCACCCACTGAGATGCCAGCCTCGACCAGCTGTTGAGCCTTCTCCACCTTGTCAACAAAAATAACCACAGATGGACCCATGTCCAACCACCTCCCCCACCACTAAACAAACTTCCTCCACGCTTTTTTTTTTTTTTTTTAACTTCCTCCACGCTGCACGGAGAGCCAGCACTCACCTTGATGCAGTTTTTCCGCGTCAGCGTGGAGAAGCTCCCAGTGCTCTCCACCACCATGGCGTCTAGACGCCGGCCAGCCAGGTGCACCTGACGGCCACACCCTCGTCAAACAAAACCTTTAAACTACTAAACTAACAAAAACCACAATTAAATAACTAACATAACAATAAACATCCAGTGAAAAAAGTAGAAAAAAGACAGAAAAATAGAATGAACACTCTCACTCTTTCCGCTCCTCTGCTCTTCCACTCACTCCTCTCACACGAAGAAGAAGAAGAAGAAGAAGAAGAAGAAGAAGAAGAAGAGTTAGATTCACTCCAGGTGTAGTTGATAAATGTTTAAGTTGTGACTGATATTATTGTGCTGATTCCTATGCTGCTGGAAGTTGCTTTTTTTTTTTTTTTAAATAAATATAAAGAAAAAAACGTTTTTTTTTAAATTTATTTATTTTTTATTTAACTTGCTCACTGTTGCTGGTCAACACATTTGAACGTATGATGTAAGAGTGTGTGTGTTTCTGTAGCCTTGCAGGCGACTACAAGAATGTTCTGATTTGGTGACTTGCACGTTAGGCTAAACACAGAATGCACTTTTAATGTTTCGTAAAATAAAACAATGAATGTTAACACATTAGTGAAAGGAAAAAAAAACACAAATTTAGTTTTAAAATTACACTTTAATATGTCATAAAATAACACAATGCATGTTAAAAAAAATTAACATTTACAGTGAAAGGGAGTTACACTATGTTGAGTTAAAAGTGCACTTAAGTGGTGTCATAAAACAACACCAAGAGTGTCAAATATTTAACACGATTAAAGAGTTCAAATATTAACACTTTGCAAAGTGTACTTTTAACTCAGAATCTGTGAGAATTATATCAACTCAGAAAAAGTGTCAAATGTGTCTGTGAGTTGAATCAACACTCCTGTTTTTGCTGTGTACTAATATAACATATTCAAGTAAAAGTACAGTTTCGCTGTCAGCATTTTACGCAAAAAAAAATTACTAGTGTAAAAGTACTCAGGCAAAAATAAAAGTTTTCCATCATTTTTTTTTTTTGTTTGTGTAAAAGTTACTTTAGAAGGGTTCTTTTTAAATATGATCCATGAAGGACAAGAGGAATTGTTTTACTTTCAAATTAGTTTTTAAATAATAAAATTGTCTGTGGAAAGAAACCAGAGTACTGGGAGAAAACTCGCATTTGCACTGGGAGAGCATGTACACTGCACACTGAAAGGCCAGGAAGCAAACCTGCGCTCACCACTGCCACCAACAGGTTAATATCCATCCATCCATTATCTGTACCCATTTCTTCTGTTTTGAGTCACTGGTGCCCATTTGTGAGAGAGGTGGGGGACACCCTGGACTGGTCTCCAGTCCATCACAGGAACACACAAAGACAAACGAGACAAATAACAATTCACGCTCTCACTCACAACTACAGACAATTTAGAGTTACCAATCAGTCTAACATGCATGTTTTTGGTCTGTGGGAGGAAATCCATGCATGCACGGAGACATGCAAACTCCACCCAGAAAGACCCCCGGACCAGGATTTGAACCAGGGTAACCTGCTCACTCAGAGGAGGCAGCTCTACTAACTGCGCCACCGTGCTACCTGGAAAATGTGTTGCCAGCATTATGTAGTATTATATGACACTTTGCTGTCATGTAGTTTATTCACAGTTGCATGATTACAAAGTGTGAGTTATACAAACAACTTCCTACACAATCAATACGTTTTCCAAATGTGCTGCAGAGTCCAAGTGCAGAATCACAGTCCCTTCCAGTAACGCTGTCTGCACGGTCGTCTCATTTCTTGGAATGTAGCACCCGGCCCACCAGCATGAAGACCAAACCAGAGACAAGCTCCAGAGGCACGCCTGCCGCTGCCACCATAAATGACAGACCATAGAGCACAGAAACGTGTGCATCTGGACACAGTTCCCCCCTCTCCTGCAGAATGTAGCGCTTCACATCCACCACCTCCACCCACAGAATGTAGAGCAGGAGCATGAGCAGGAACAGGCAGGCTGCAGGGAATAAACAGAGGTCATTACAAGGAATCCTTACTGCAAACTGTACACCTGCTGCTGTCATCGTTCACAGCACAGTGGCATCTGCTGCCCTCTCTGCAGAAAACATGCTTGTCGTCATGTGACCAGAATACACAGCTGACACTTGTTTGCATGCGGACATTCTCCTTCTCACTGTATGAGCACACGCTACATGAACTCTAGAGTACAGCGGTCTATATTTACCAGCTGTGATGAGGAAAGCTCCACCCAGCTTGTAAAGTTTGTGACTGATGAAGGGAACACCACAGAGCAGGATGAAGCCGCCCGCCAGAGCAGAAACCAGGCCGAGAATGATAAGAACTGTCCAAAATCCCCGAAACACTGCAGGAAAAGCCACAGAGGAACATTCAAATGTGTCTTCATGCCTGTTGTAGAACGATCTTTGAACAGATTAGGTAGAAGAAACTGAGGTTTCATCGGACAGGACTGAGAAATGAACAAGTCGAAGCAGCCAAGGCAAAGTGAACTGCTGCCATCGAAAACAACTCCAATATCTAAAATCTTATTGCAGTCCATGCAAAGTATGTAAACTTTTACATGGTCAATAATTTTGCATGACACACTTATTTTGGCAGAAATTTTGTGATGTTCCTGCAGGAAGTAGGCTACCCCGGACAGAACCGGAAGTTCCACAACTAGCTGCTTCTACCATTTGAACTTCAAATAATTAAATAATTATATATTAAGATGCAAATTGTGTGAAACTGATGACAATGTTAAAATGTTTATGAAACAGTATTCACATGAATTATTGAGGTTGGAGTTGTATAAAGGCAACATTAATCCACTTTGATCTTGGTTAAAAAAAGTTATTTAATTATTATAGGTAGGCCTGTCACGATAACAAATTTTGTCGAGCGATTAATTGTATCAGAAATTATTGCGATAAACAATAATATTGTTTAAAATTTGACAGTGATTAGTCATTATTTTCAAATTTAAGAAGAAATGTTAGTTAATTTTTGTGTGTAGTACATTTTTGACCACTGGATGGCAGTATAAGACTGTTTGAACTGAAGGATGGATAGTGAGGTAGCGAGCAGCATGTCTACTTAAGAAAAATGGGAGGGAGGCCCCTTGACGTGACATGGGCTGTCTCTCCTTCCTGTTTTTCGGTTTTGAAAATGGCGGACGCTCAGTGTGGGCTGAGCTCTTTAGCATAGCATTTTTCACACACAGCTTTTAATTAAAAAAAAAATCAGTAAACAAGTTCTCAGCTTCTTTTTGCAGAGAAAAACAACTTTTTACACAAAGGCACGGGTTTCAATCGTGAATTTTGGAGCTTCAGTGAGACGGAGGTTTTATCCTCGAGGTCGGCCTGTTAGCTTAGCTCGTAGCTTAGCTTCTCAGCTGAGCTGCTTTTAACCATCCAAAAACACAATTTTGGACGATTAAAACAGATTTTAAAGAGAAAAGTGAAAGGGAGGAGTTAGTGAAGAGCACCGGAGTTGAGCCTTTTGTCATCCAGTGTCTTCAGTAGAAAGAGAGACTCGACGAAACAATAAAGCCGATAAATGAAAATGAGGTCGATCATTTTCATTTAGCATGTGATTAATTGATTTATTGTTTATTGTTTATCGCGGCAGACCTAATTATAAAATGAAACTATTATTTTCAACATATCACCCGCTGCCTTGTATGATGAAGTTTTAAACAAAGATCTCAACACAGTCCATTAGAGCTTGGAGCATGTGTTGAGGATGACTCTCAAGCTTTCTTTCCAATTTGTCTAATGGTTTGTGGAATATTTTGCTAACCGTCAAACAAACAACCAGTGTGTGACAGGAACAGGCAATCACACAGTTACCTGCCTTTCATTGCAGTGAGTGATAATTATGTGAACAAGCCTCCTTTTCTAAACCAGTTATCTCAATGAGTTGCAACTGATGGAAAGTAATTAGAGACTCATACCTGCAAGATGAAATACAAACTTTTACTTGGAATCTTATTGCGTTCATACTTAAGACATGTTTAAGTACTTACAGTATATTGAGGGGAAAAAAGCAACATTTGAAGAACATTCTTGTAAATTACATGCATTAATTCTTCCTCAAAAGTTCATCACAAAGTGTCTTAACTTTGTCTCAGTTTGATTACAGCTTGTTCTCTTTTAAGTCTCCAATCAGTTATAGTTTGGTCTGCAAACACTCTTAAAGTGGTCTCACAATTCTTGAACTTTCTGACTCGCAAAAGCAACATTGATAAGGTTCTGACATGTAGATGTCTGGAACAACTGTGACCTTTTTGAGAGAGATTGAGTTACTTGCCCTTGCAACAAAATAGCAATTAATACGAGAACGGCTGTGAATTTTTAGAGCCATTTTGGAGATTCCCTACTACGTGATACAGTATTCTCAATATATCAGCAATAATCACAGCCCAGTAAGACAAAAGCTTAAAAACTATTGTAAAGGGACAAAGTGAATTTTTTTTTTTTTTTTTTTTTTTGAACGCATATGTGTACAGATAAAAAAGAAAGTAGTTTACCTGCAGTAGCATCATATTTCTGATGAGGAACTTGTCCAGTTGCAACGGGCAGTGGGAAGAGGTAGCCCTGAATACACACCTTTTGCTCTGGTTGGTTTGCTACAATTAAAAAAGTCACATAAGAATCTTCAAAACCTAAATATGTTTTGTGGTCATAGTAAGAAACTAGAAAAAATAAACTAAAGCTAAAAACAACTATTACACTCGTGAGCAGGAAGTACATGATAGAAACATAAAAACAACATTTTTGTGACCTCAGAACAAGAAAGATTAGTCTACTTACTGAAGAGAGTGGCCAGAATGGCATGTGTCGAGGGCTCCACCTGAAACAGACAGCGCCAGAAAAACCCTTCGTGGTGCAGATTGAGAAGCTGAGGCCAGACAGTCACAGCTTCTTGTATTGGGATCTAAAAAAATAATGTCACAGAAACATGGTGTAAAACTCTAATTGTTTTATTCTTACTTCCTGTCATCATCGTCAACACGTGTCTGTAAAAGCAGCTCTGTGTGATCCAGGATCAAAAGTGGTTCTGATTACTTCTGATCTGCAAAGTTTCCTACAGGAAACTTTTAAAGGTAGATCATTTTATTTCAATTTTGAACAGTTAAAAATTTAAACAAAACCATAAAAACATAAATTAAAAATAACGTAAATATTTCCACCAAAATATTCAAAAATGGAGCAGGAAGAAGCAACGGCTAATCCAGTCCTGTCCCTAAATTTACATACACATTCTGAACCAAAACAGTTTTGTAAAACAAAATTTAAGAACACAAAAAACGCAAAGTGTAGACCGAAAAAAAAGTGTAGACAGAAGCACAAGCTTATTATACTTCACTTGTTATACATCAAAATCAAAGCAGCAGAATATTTTCCTGTATAATTTTCTCAAACATATCAACGAATTTCAGCTAAATTGATAGACAAATTCATAAAAAACAAAACACAAAAAAGGAAAAGGAGAAAAAACAAACAAAAAAAACTATCAAACTTTATTATATTTGTTTAGTAAATGATTTTTATACATTTTTTTATTTAAAGAGTGAAAAACACAGTTGAATCTCCTTACGACAACTATTCCACACCTGAATCCTTCTAACTGAAGTACAGTTGTTTTAAATATTTGTCCTAACTTTTGTTTTATTTTAATAAATCCTTTCGTAAATCATAGTTTATCTCTTAAATTTTGAACCACTTTTGTATACACCTTGGATGGAGTTTATTATAGGCTTTGAACATAATCAGTGCTGTTCTGAGTTCTACTATATCATAAAAAATAAAAAAACTTTGTGAGCATGCAGGAATAATTCTCTCCACCCAGTTGTCAAATATATGATTGATAGAGTCGAACAACACAACAAATTTAATCATGTTTTTTTGTTGAAAATGAAAGACTTTGTTCAGCTGTTGTGTTTTGGAAGAGCTCACAGGAGGATTACAGATCTATCCATTGATTTGTGTTTTGTGAACATTTTCATTGCTTCTGTATAGAAGAATAAACTGGAAGATTAAAGCGGTAATCCACTGAATCTTTACATGAAGATCAAACCATGGAATGTGTCTGTCTGTGAAAACACTTGTTGTTTATACCCAGTGATTAATTTGAGACGGAACTCTCTTGTTTTTACAGGGTGCGTTCTGGCAACTTTTGGCTTGGATCTGGCAACTCTCAGTCTTACTAATAATAAAGTTATGAATAAATATGACTGTCTTGTCGTTTGGGGAGCCATGCTTGAACTGTGTCGCTCCCCTCTGCTGCTGAGACAATAAATAACTCCTCAGTCCTCAGCTGCTGTTTTAAAGAAGCTCTGGACGCTTGTCACTCACAGCACGCATGCGACAAAGAGTATAACTCAAAGCGAGAGTCATACCTGCCCCTCTTTTTCTCTTTCACGTTGACAAAATGTTTTAGTTTTATCAATGAGTTTGTCAAAGCACAATGTTGTTGTAAATACAGAAGGAACATTTAATAAAATAAATGTTAGGACTCTATTCTTTGCTAACAAAATAGATTTTATGTCATTAAACAACTTGTCAGATTCTTCTCATGTGAGCATGCTCGTCCCCCAGGGCCCCCTCCCCACTGGCCCGCCGGCTAATTGTGTTCTGGCTTCAATTGGTTTACAAATTAAGCCCTGTTTATACGTCTTGAGGAACTTTGTTGAATTGATTCTTGAAGATGTTTATGGTGTTTTATGTTGCTTGGTGGAAGTGAACACACAAAATAACTGCACCATGAAAGATCATGTGATCACGTGAACAGCAGTGATTATAATTCACCCATTCATTCATTAACTTTACCCACTTCTTCCTTTCCAGGGGTTGCTAGTGCACACGTCCAGGAATCACCGTGAGAGAGGCGAGGCACACTCTGGACAGGTCTCCAGTCCATCACAGGGCCACGTAGAGACAAATGAGACAAACAACCATTCACTCTATCAGTCACACCGAGGGACAATTAGTGTTGCCAATTAGCCTAGCATGCATGTTTTTGGTCTGTGGGAGGAAAATGATAAAAATATCAGATCAAATGGATAACAGAGTTATGCATTTACCCAGTTATCCACCACATAATACTGGTCAGTATTGGTCCGTTTACATGAACTCCATTCAGCCATTCTCAGGTCGGCCCAGTGAATCTTTACATTGGGTGTATCCCAATGTAATGTGATTTTTTTCTTCCGTTTTAAATCACATTTCAAATCAGTTTCCTCCCCTTAGCAACCTGGAACCACAGGCCTGCGGGGTATCGGCCCAAAGTAAGCCTAAAGCTAAAACTAAACGCTCAGCTAACCACCGATACGTTCACGTCTCAAATTATTCTTCTCCCGTTCAAAACCACATTTCAAACCAGAACCTCGGCCCCACTGGGTGACAGTACAAAGAAAAAAATAATACTCAAATTAAGCCCTCGGTCAATCACCGACCTGTTCAACTCTCAAATCGATTTTCCGTGCTTAGTGAGACGCCCGCTGAGGAGCAGACTCTCTTGTTGTTGGCTGCTCCATAGTTCGAAATGTAGTACTTGCGACTCATACCACAGTGAAATGCATTTCAGGGGCTAGAGCAGGCGACACTGAATCTCACCTTAAACTCCTGCCTAAGCTAAGGCGACATACAATAAAATCATTATTCACGTCAGAAAAAATGACACTCGGCTACGCAAATCAGAGATCACTAAAATTAATGTTGCTTCAGTGTGCAACTTCGCAAAAACTATGTATGACTCTGTAGTTTTCTCCGGCCCCCTCCCCAACCTGTCCAACGAATACATACTTAGCCGTATGTTGGCTTTTGTCCAGGTGGTGCTCTGAAAACAACGTAGGATTTGTAGACAACTGGAGTGCATTTTGGAGAAAACCCGGTCTGATGTGGAGAGATGGAATCCATCCCACCTTAAATGGAGCAACACTTCTGTCTAAAATCTTAGTTGATTCAGTTGAACATCCAAATTGTTGAAAATTAATGGTCCAGTCTAGGAATCAGTCCAGGAAGCAGAGATGTAGTCTTACACACTTCTCTGCTTCTTCTCTGTTACCCACCCAAACCCCATCGAAACAGTGTCAACTCGCACATGGCTCAACTAAAATAAACCAAAAATGAGCTCTAAAAATATTAACTATAAAAATCTTATTAAAATAAACACAACTACTTTACCAGAACAAAAAATTCAAAAAAAAAACATTAAATGTGGATTATTGAACATCAGATCTCTTTCCTCTAAATCCCTGTTAGTTAATGAACTGATAACTGATCATCTTATTGATTTATTCTGTCTGACAGAAACTTGGCTACAACAGGAGGATTTTGTTAGTATAAATGAATCCACTCCTGTTAATTATTTAAATTTTCATGTCCCTAGAACAACTGGCTGAGGTGGAGGAGTAGCTTCTATTTCTCAGTTGGGACTATTAGTTAATACTAAACCAATTAGTTGTTATAATACTTTTGAATCACTGTCTCTAAGTCTATCCCATCCTAAATTGAAAACAGAATGGCCACTCTCACTAGTTGTTGTATATCGTCCACCAGGCGACTATGATTAGTTTTTATCTGAATTCTCAGAATTCTTAACTGACTTATTATTGAATACTGATAAATTCATAATAATGGGTGGGTTCAATATTCATGTAGATGTTGAAAGTGATATTTCAAGCATTGCATTTAAATTCTTAATAGAGTCAATTAGTTTTACCCAAAATGTCCGCACATCTACTCATTCTCATCATCACACCCTTGACCTAGTTCTGACCTATGGCATCGAGATTAATAACAGTAATATTTCCTCAAAGTCCTGTTGTGTCTGACCATTTTTTAATAACCTTTGAGTTTACATTAAATGACTACACGGTCACTGAGAGTAAATTTCATCTCAGCAGGTGTTTATCAGTCAGTTGGAAACATGTCAATGCCTGTAAAGACATTTACTGTATGTATGTTTGGCTGATCTGGTGTGGGAGGAGAGGAAGGAATTTTGTTCTATGTTATTTTATTTTATTTCTTTTCTCTTTTGTGTGTGTTCAAACAACAACAAAAAAATCAATAAAAAGACTTGGATATAAAAATAAAAAAAGTTGTACTGCAGCCAGCCACAGGGGGTCCTCATCCTTTGTGGCTTCAACTTCCAGCTTCTGGTACTGTGTCTTTGTGTAATACAGTACACTTGACACATTTAATTTGAAGTGCTGCTGCACCTACATGAAGCTTCAGAAACTTTGCAGCTTTTGTCAGTGTCATATGCTATGTTTCAAACTTGGATATTGAGTTTGTCAGAATCAATACATTGTGACTAATGATGCTCTTGTTGTTTTTTCTTATTTTAGCTCATCCATGCTTCATGGGTCACCACAACAAGCAAACTCGCATGAAAGATTTTGCAATTGTTTTGCGCTTCTTGATGCAACCTGGGCTGAAACACACAGCCTCAGGATTCGATATAGCATGAGTAATAAGGAGAGTTAATCATTAGACAACACCGATATTAAGACTTGAGAAGATAACTGTTTAAAATGGTCAGGCTACTACTTGTGCCGTGCTCTTCAGCTGAGGCTGAATGAAGTTTTAGTGCTTCAAGAAGACTTAAGACATGGCTCCTCCATGAAACAGCAACATTTGAGCAATGTAGCTGTCTGCCACATGCACCAAGATAGACTTGATCAGGTGGACATGAAGGGGATTTGCCAGTCGTTCGTGTCTGTAAATGGCAGAAGGCAGCACATTTTTGGAAGCTTTGTCTAATCTGAGAAGGAAGAACTTGTTTTGTCTTGTCTGTGCCCTCAGATTTGAAAAGTCCAGCTGATGGTGTTACAGTGAATATCTTGAAGGAGAAATATGTTGTTAGGGAGAAAGAACCCAAGTAACACAAGTTTTTTAGAAAGTAAAATAGGGAAAATCGGTGTATGGGGAAGGAATAGTGGAAAGAAAACAATTATGGGGAAACAGGAGATGGATGTTATTTCAAGTGGATTGTGAAGGAAAGGAGAATAAGAGTTATGGAGAGGTAGAAATTGTGGGGGTGCCAAGGTAGGAAGGAACCTGTAAACCTATTTTATTTTAATAATTACATGCAGGATAATAAAACTGACAAAAAAGTGTTGTTTTTTTTTTGTTTGTTGTTTTTTTGGTGTCACTATTGCTGAGCACAATGTAACTTTGTGTTGTGAAGGCGGAATGATACCATGTCATTTTTGTAATGAGTAGGTCTATCACTAAATCAGAAACAGTAAAATGCTCCCCTTAATTCAGTGTTGGTGGTTATCAAAATTGCACCTATTCATTGGGTAAAATTAATATTATTCTTTTTAAACATGCAGTTTGTTGTCACCATTGCTTAGCACATGTGTTACAACTAAATAAAAAAAATAAAAAAAACTGTGAAGTGCACCCCTAAAGCCATTGTTTGTGATAAATTGTGTCGCGTTAATTTTATTATCTTAGCCATAGGAGTCAGTTTGTGTGGCATGGAGGCTGCACAGCTGCAGAAAGAAAAGCTTTGCAGAGAGTGGTGAAGGCTGCACAGAAGTCTGGAATCGGTCTCTCCACCATCACAGACATCTACACCTCCAGATGCAGGAAGAGGGCCACCTGCATCATGAAGGACCCCACTCACCCAGCACACACACTTTTTGCCCCACTCCCCTCAGGAAGGAGGTTGAGGAGCATTAAGTGTAGAACCACTAGACTGAGGAACAGCTTCTACCCTGAGGCTGTCAGACTCGTGAATCTCTAACCAGAATAATCACTGTGAAAAATCACATCATGTTGCTGCTGATCTGTTTCATGTTGCTGCTGATCTGTTTCATGTTGCTGTGTTCTTTCGTACTCATCTGCTCACACGGACTCATGTTCGTGCTGCTGTTCGGCGTATTGTTTTTATACTACTAGTGCTTAGTGTATTTTTAGTTTAATGTTTTTCTTAGTTCATATTTTAGATTTTATTACTGTTTTTCTTTCACATTTTAATAATTTTGTTGGATGGAACTGGGACCCTTTGTACATAATTTCGTTCCACATGTACCACATGAGGTGTGTATGACAAATAAAGAACCTTGAACCTTGAATTCAAAAACAGTATGATGCATAAATGGAATAGCTGAATGAGGAATCCGTCTCTAAAATAGTTATTGAATCAAGTGTTTACATATGTAGGTAAATGTAGATGTTTAACAACCCTTTGAAATGTACCAAAATGCAGGAAATGGCATCTACTTTATTTAGAGTTTTCTGGGGAAGGACCCCCAGAACCCCCACCAGTATCTTCCCCCGCACACACACAGACTTTACAAATGCTTCTGACGCCCCTGTCTGAACCTCTGTTGCAGTGAATATAGTCTCTACATCATGTGCAGTCTTTGGTCTTCCTCTTAACGCTCTCCCATCAACACTAAATCAGATCATTATATCTTTAAATAACATGAAGTGGAATGTTTTGCACTCCAACATGTACACAACATCGGATCAGTTTCTACACTAGTCTTTTTGTAGTTATCAGATGACCTTGCACAATAAAAGTGCTGCTATTTTATTTGTTTTAAAGGTGTTCTACATACTGTGGGCCTGGATAATTGCAAAAGATAGCAACGTGTTATTTAGTTTCAATAACAATCCATGTTTTGTTCAGCCAATTCCACGAGTCTCTGAAGAAACTTTGCTCAGTCACAACGTCTAAAAGTGTTGTAAAAACCTGCTCATCTTTGAATTGTGCATTGTCTGGCCCCAAGTGCAATGCTTGTTTCTTCCTATTACAATGGAAATACTCTGAGTTAGAAAGATCCAGATTTCAAGACTATCTGAACCATGTAAAACATGATAAATGTCAAACATTATAATTATGACTGTCCAAATAAATATTTCTGCTGTCAGCCTCTGAGTCTTTTGTTTAGTCATGATGTAAAATACTCACACTAGTAACAGGAAAAAAAACTTCCAGTATGTATTTGTGTTAGTAAACAAAGAATTTGTGAAGTAAATTATCTGCCCTACCTCTGTAACATTGGCATCTGTGTCCCATGTTGGCGTCGTTTGAATGGTGTACGTCTCACAGTTGTCACTGGCTAACAGCCAGTAGTCTGTAGCAAAAGCTACAAGAAAACACAGGGTCCCTAACACCCCAAAAATCCCCCCAGCTAAGGCTGCGGCTCCTACTCTCATAATTTTGTCTTTAAGATTTATCTGTTGCGTCCTTGTCCCCTTTCTAATAACTTCAGGTCCTCACTGGTGTCCACTTAAATTATCAGCCCAACCCCTCCCCCCAAATAAAAAACAGAGTATGTCCCAGCCACGCCCTGGAACGCAGGGAGGTAAAGAAGCTTCAGTGACTGAGGGTGGGGGTCAGACGGGGCGACCAGAGTTATTTTGGGTGGCAGTAAATCTATCCTTGTCAGATTACCAGTTGGCATGTTGTGCTTTATGAAAGAAAGAAGGAGATGCAGGACTGTGTGTGCGTGTGCTGATATTCTGGACAGAGAGTAGAGAAGGCGAAGTCTGAGACTGTCATCACTGTATGTTCCCATACAATGGCAAAATTATTTCTCTGCATTTAACCAATCGCACCTGAGATATAATATATACAGTATATAGACCTGAGATGAGGGGAGTGGTGGCGCAGAAGCTAGAGAAGGTGGACCTGTGACACAGACAGCTATGGTAGCTCGGTGATCTGTGGTTGCAGCAGGAAGGGCATCTGGTGTAAAAAATAACTGCCAAGTCTTCGTGCAACTTAGTTCGCTGTGGCGACCCCTGAAGAAGGGAGCAGCCGAAAGAAGGAAAAAAAAACAACCTGAGATACATCCAGGTGGAGCAGTGGGCAGCTTTGTAAACGCCTGGGGCGCAATTAGGGATTAGGTGTCTTGCTCACAGATATCACAACATGTGGGAATGGTTGGGGATTGAACCTGGGACTTTCTGGTCCCAGGTCGGCTGCCCTACCTCTACCCCATCCCCATATTTCCCGTAATTAATAACCACATCTTGGATCTGCTTAATTTGTCTCTAATAAACGGTTATGTACCACAGAGCTTTAAAATTGCTGTAATTAAACTTTTACTTAAAAAACATAACCTTGACTCAGGAATCCTAGCCAATTATAGACCTATATCTAATCTAACTTTCATCTAAAAAATTCTAGAGAAAATAGTTGCTGGTCAGTCACGGGATCATCTGCAAAGAAATAATCAGAAGAGTTTCAGTCGGGGTTTAGAGCTCACCACAGCACGGAATCTGCACTGGTGAAAGATACTAATGATATTCTCATGGCCTCTGACAATGGACAGGTGTCTACACTGGTCCTGTTAGACCTCAGTGCTGCATTTCATACAGTTGATCATAATATTCTATTACAGAGACTTGAATATGATATTGGAATTACAGGAACGGCTATAAAATGGTTTAAATCATATTTATCTGATAGATTCCAAGTTGTAAATGTAAACAACAAATCTTCATCATACACCAAAATTAGTCATGGAGTTCCTCAGGTTTCCGTGCTTGGATGGGTACTGTTTACCTTATATATGCTTCCATCCATCCATCCATCCATCCATCCATTATCCATCCATCCATCCATCCATTATCTTTACTTTTTTATTCCATTTTGGGTCACGGGGGGACGCTGGTGCCCATGTCCAGCAATCACTGTGCGAGGGGCGGGGTACACCCTGGACGGGTCGCAAGTCCATCACAGGGCCACACAGAGACAAACGAGACAAACAACCTCTCACTCACACCTAGGGACAATTTAGAGTTACCAATCAGCCTAACATGCATGTTTTTGGACTGTGGGAGGAAACCGGAGAACCCAGAGAAAACCCACGCATGCACGGAGAGAACATGCAAACTCCACCTAGAAAGGCTCCTGGACCGGGGTTTGAACCAGGGACCTTCTCGCTGAGAGGCAGCAGCTCTACCAGTTGCGCCACCATGCTACCTATATATGCTTCCATTAGGTAAATGTATTAAACAGCGTGACATAAATTTTCATTGTTATGCTGATACACAATTATATTTGTCCATTAAACCCAATGAATCCAATCAGCTACTTAGACTACAAGCATGTCTTAAAGACATAACCTGGATGATCCTGAATGTTCTGCTTTTGACACAGACAAGACTGAGGTTTTGGTTTTTGGACCTGAGCATCTTAGGAATACATTTTTCAGTCTTTCTCCCTCCTTATATAGCATTAATCTGTCCTCCAGCTCTAATGTTAAAAATCTTGGTGTTATTTTTGATCAGGACAGGTCTTTTATCCATCCATCCATCCATCCATCCATCCATTATCTTCCGCTTATCCGGGGTCGGGTCGCTGGGGTAGCAGCCTAAGTAGGGAGGCCTAGACTTCCCTCTCCCCAGCCACTTGGGCCAGCTCTTCCGGCAGAATCCCAAGGCGTTCCCAGGCCAGCCGAGAAACATAGTCCCTCCAGCGTGTCCTGGGTCTTCCCCTGGGCCTCCTTCCGGTGGGACGTGTCCAGAACACCTCACCAGGGAGGTGTCCAGGAGGCATCCTAAACAGATGCCCAAGCCACCTCAACTGGCTCCTCTCGATGTGGAGAAGCAGCGGCTCTACTCTGAGTCCCTCCCGGATGATCGAGCTTCTCACCCTGTCTCTAAGGGAGAGCCCAGACACCCTGCGGAGAAAACTCATTCGACCGCTTGTATCCAAGATCTCATTCTTTTGGTCACAACCCAAAGCTCGTGACCATAGATGAGGGTGGGAACGTAGATCGATCGGTAAATTGAGAGCTTCGCCTTTTGACTCAGCTATCTCTTCACCACGACAGACCTGTACAGCACCCGCTTCACTGCAGATGCTGCACCTATCCGCCTATCGATCTCATGCTCCATTTTTCCCTCATTCGTGAACAAGACCCCAAGATACTTGAACTCCTCCACTTGGGGTAGGACCTCCTCCCTGACCCAGAAAGGGCACTCTACCCTTTTCCGGCTCAAGACCATGGCCTCGGATTTGGAGGAACTGATCTTCATCCCGGCCGCGTCGCATTTGGCTGCGAACCGCTCCAGCGAAAGCTGTAGATCACGATCTGATGAAGCCAATAGGACCACACCATCTGCAAAAAGCAGAGACGCAATCCTAAGGCGACCAAAACGGATCCCCTCAACACCTTGGCTGCGCCTAGAAATTCTGTCCATAAAAGTTATGAACAGAATCGGTGACAAAGGGCAACCTTGGCAGAGTCCAAGTGCGGTCTTTTTCCCCCACATTAAAAATGTTACTAGAACTACCTTCTTCCACCTGCGTTATATCACTAAAATTAGAAACATCTTATCTAAAAATGATGCAGAAAAACTGGTTCATGCATTTGTCACGTCTAGACTGGACTATTGTAATGGTTTGTTATCTGGGTGTCCAAATAATTATTTAAAAAGTTTTTGTTGATCCAAAATGCTGCTGCCAGAGTCTTAACTGGAGTTTGTAGGAGAGATCATCTGTCTCCAGTTTTAGTTTCTTTCCAGTGGCTCCCTGTCAAATCCAGAATATAATTCAAAATCTTACTTCTAACCTACAAAGCTCTCAACAACCTAGCTCCATCTTATATTTAAGATCGTATTGTTCCATATTTTCCAAACAGAGCACTTTGCTCTCAGACTGCAGGTTTACTCCCGGTTCCTAGAGTTTCCAAAAGCAAAATGGGAGGAAGATCTTTCAGTTATCAGGCTCCTCTCTTGTGGAACCAACTTCTAGTTCTGTCCGTGAGGCTGACACATTGTCCAGTTTTAAGACTGGGCTGACGACTTTCCTTTTTGATAAATCCTATAGTTAGGGTTGACTTGTTATTCTGCTATAGGCTTTGTTAGACTACTAGAGGACAAGTTTACCTCATTTCCTTAAATGATTTGCTAAAACTGAATCATTTAAATTTAATACTATTTATTTCTTAACTGTAAGAGTGACACTTGCTGCAGCTCCAAGATGGCCGCTAATTACCACCAGCTGTCGGTCATCTGCCTGATGAGTTCCAGCTCTGCTTAAGGCTGCAGTCAAGCTCTATTCTTTGCTGAAGCATTGATTCTGTTCTTGGTCTTTATTAGTGATGGTGAGATGAAGCTTCATGAAGCACTGAGGCTTTCCATTTAATAGCTCGACTCACGATCCAACGCACCAGGACTTCCGGCAAAATGGCGGAGAGAGCGGCTGCGCTGTGAAGACCTCCACGTAACAAAACTCGAAAAAAAATATGTAATTTGAAAAACTGTGATGTTCTGACTCATTACAAGTAAAGGAGGATCAATCCGAAATTAAAAAGACCGCCCAACGTAAATGTGAGAAATAACAACGGGCAAAAGAAAACAATGGCGATAATGGCTACTAGCAAAGCTAACAGCACTGCTAACACAGCTCTGCTAGCACACAACTACTGCCGAGCACAAAATATGGAAACTGACGCCAAAGGAACCAAAAATGCCTTAACATCACCGTGTAAGACCCCAGTACCACACAAGAAGACAAAGGGAGACGAGGAGGTTGGTTCAAATGCCTCTTACGCCGTGCTCCTAGCAGCAGTTGAAAGTCTTCAGCAAATGAAGTCCAAGTTTGGTGAAGAAATGAAGGAAATGAGAGAAGAAATGAAACAGAGCACGCACTCCACTGCTAATATCATCAAGACGGTGGGTTATAACAGCTCTGAAATCCAGGAGTGTAAAACTAAAAACAAAAAGATAGAAAACGAGATGACACGACTTAAAGCTACAAACACGGAGCTGACAAAGGAAATCTAGGATATTAAAAGAAAAGCGGCAGAGTCGGAGCGCTATAAAAGAAGATGGAATCTGCGCATCAACGGCTTAAAAGAGGAACAAAATTAAGACATCAAACAGAAAGTCGCAGATCATGCCACAATGGAAAGAGAAGACAGACATGATTCTCGACACTGTGCACCGCCTGGGCCCAAACAACACCAACCGCCCACGACAGATTATTGTACAGTTCACAGGTCGAAGCTTCAGAGATGAACTTTGGAGATCCACAAAACAACACCCCACCTGCAGAGAGCTCAACATCCGATTCGCTGAGGACCTCACCAAAGACCAGGAAGCACGACTAGCTGTGTGACCCAAAGTGGACAAAGCTCGGAAAGCTGGGATGAAGGCCGTGTTCAAAGGCCCACATCCTTTATCAATGGACAAGTTACTCCTTAGATATTTGTACAGTAGATCTACATGCCATTTCTGAGCTC